TCCAGGCAACCACCAACCCCTCTCGAAGTGCTTCTAGAGTCTGAGGAGGACGTTGCAAATTGAGCAATCTCCTACCCATCATATCCCACACGACCTCAATTGGGGATAAGTCGGGAGATGTTGGTGGCCATGGTAACAATGTGACATCATTATGTTGAAAGAAGTCTATTGTGACTCTTGCAACATGTGGTCGGGCATTATCTTGTTGGAAAGTTGGATCTACCAGGGTGTCAAGATAGGGTAAAAGATGGGGTTCTAGAACTTCGTGGATATAACGCGGCGCGTTCATGTTACCTCTGATGAAGATTAAAGGTGACCTGGAACCATAAGCTATAGCACCCCAAACCATAACTCCAACAGTGTGATGAACATGTCTTTCAACAAAAAACTGTGGATTCCTCCTTTCACCACGTCGCCTTCTAACCCTGGCACGACCATCGTGCATGCCTAAACAAAATCGAGACTCGTCACTAAAGACAATACTGTTCCATTCCTGATCCCAGAGTGACCGTTGTCTGCACCACTCAAGGCGATTACGTCGGTGTTCTCGAGTTAAAGGGAGGACCCAGTGTGGCCGGTATGAAAACAAGCCAAAACTTCTCATTCGCCGGCAAACCCTTCGCATGCCAATAGGTCTTCCGTGTTCTGCAAACCATTCATGTGCAATGGACCTGGTAGTGGAGAACGGTCCCTTAAGGCCACCTAACCACAGTGTCTACACTTCTTTGCACTCTAACTGCAATTGCCCGAAAAGAAAGTCCAGCTTCCCGAAGTCCCACTATACGGCCCCTATCAAACTCACTAAGTTGACGAAATCGTACAGGTCTCCGTACTCTAGGCATCGTAACCGATCGTAAAGGATATCAAGAACCAAAATCCGCCAACGTTGATTCTTTACTGCGGCTGAAATATTCATTTTTAGAGCGTTAGTGAATTAAAAAAAAGCAGTATAAAAATCAGAATGTCCAACTGATGAGGCTGAAAATTTTTTCACTTGTTATTTACAGTAAGATAAATACATTCACCAACTTTTATTAAAATAAAACCATTTAAACCGGGTGTTCGGATTTATATGTCACTTAGTATAGTCTGTTGGATGTAGATTGGAACATTCTAACAAATATTACTAATGCTAACGATGCGGTCACTTGTTTTTATAATAAGCTTAATGAGGTACTGGATACACATGTTCCGCTATACAAAAACTTTAGGCGCAAGTATCCTTCTTGGTATACAAGCGAAATTATTAAAATTGTAAAACAAAAAGACAAAGCTCATAGAAAGTTCAAGCAAACTAGATTTCTTACACATCAAGAGTTCAGTAGGCTGCGACGAGTGTTTAAACATATAACTAGAGAGGCGTATAATATATATTTTCGATCAATGCAAAATCATTTGAAGGATGATCCTAAATCTTTCTGGGCCTTTATCCATAGTAAAACCAACACAACTAGAATACTTAACAATATGACCTACAATGATGAGTCCATTAACGATTCCCAAGGTATAGTTGATGCTTTTGCCGATTTTTTCTCTAATGTTTACTCGTTACCGGATAATATTGATGCCAATCATAGCTTAAATTTCGATCATAATGCCGCAATAGATATTAGTTGTGAACAAATTACGGTCGATGAAATTTTTTCTGCCAATCGGAAGCTAAAAGTCAAGCTAACTGCAGGACCTGAGCAAATTCCATCATTCTTTGTCAAGGATTATATTAGAATATTGGTATTTCCATTGCAGATTCTGTTTAACTTAGTTTTGTACACATCTCTTTTCCCAGATAAATGGAAAGCTGCAAAGGTGTGCCCAATTCCAAAAACAAAGAATTATAACTTAGTTTCTGATTAGAGAGCAGTGTCTATCTTAAACAATTTTACGAAACTCTTGGAGATCATATTGTATAACAGAATACATCTGTCCATGAAAGACCATATTTCGATCCATCAACATGGTTTTATGAGGCAACGCTCAAGTTTAACCAATCTAATGGAGTTCAGTCAATACTTATGCCAAAGATTGGATAACAGAGGCCAGATTGACGTGGTAAACACGGATTTTTCCAAAGCCTTTGATAAGGTTAATCATAATATATTGATTAGTAAGCTACGATACTTAGGTTTTAATAGTACTTATACTGCGATTTTGACTTCCTACCTTTCTGAAAGAAAACACTATGTTTTCTACAATGGATACTATTCGCATGTTCACATTTCTACCAGCGGTGTTCCTCAAGACGCTAACTTACGACCCCTACTGTTCATTCTTTTTGTCAATGATTTATGTGTCTCTTTGGATTGTCTGAAGTTGATGTTTGCTGACGATTTAAAGTTTTTCTGTACTATTTCCTCCACAGAGGATTGTGTTGTGTTGCACGAACAAATCAACATTGTACTAAGATGGTGTGAAAATAACAATATTTTTCTAATTATTTACTAAATGTAAAGTACTCACTTTTTCTAGGCAGACTAATCCTATATTTTACAACTACACAATGGAGGATTCTGTCTTGGAGCGTTATGAGACTGAGAGAGATTTAGGTGTCTACTTTGACGGGGAACTCACCTTCAATTATCATACAAACCAAATAATTTCTAGTGCATCGAAAACGTATGGCTTCATTATCAGAAACTGTAGGAACTTCGACAATATCTGTACATTGAGATCTTTATTTTTCAGCCTGATAAGGTCAAAACTTAAATATGGATCTCTTATATGGAACCCTATTTATAAACAAGATGTTGATGCTGTTGATAAAATTCAGAAAAATTTGTTGAAGTTTCTCAGGTTCAAAACTGATGGAGTATATCCTGCAAGAGGTTTCGATTACAAAGACCTTTTACAAAAGTTTGAGTTTCAATCTTCAGAGCAGCGGCGGAATCAATTTTCTGTACTGATTTTATATAAATTGTTGCATGGTCAAGTAGACTGCCCCCAAATTCTCTCGCAGTCGCAATTTCTGGTGCCGCGGTTAGCTTTACGAGCTAGCGTTCCTTTTTTATGTTAAAGAACACAGACTAACTTATTATCAAAAGCACCAGTTAATATGATGAGTAACAATGCTAATAAAATTGCTAACGACTGTGACATTTTTGGTTGCAATAATTATAATGAGATAAGGAATAAGACACGTTTTCTAAGTTAAGACTTACCATTTTGTATATATATATATATATATATAACAAAAACTAGGAAAATAATGGGCAAAATCCGCAGAAAGGATGAAAGTGGATCCGAGCAGAAAATAGGATAGGTAACCCGAGCGATACGTATTTCTGCTGGTTGGCTTCATCAGGCCCGAAATGAATGTACATATGCAACTACAAAAGTAGATACACATGTCCACACATCCGGATACGGGTGTAACGTGAGGAAACGAAGATGGAGAGGGAAAAATGACACACGAGGTCCACAAGAGCCAACCTACAGATTGTAGTATAAAATGGCTAGAAGACCTCGAATTTTCAAACCACAACCACGCGGCCGGTTATAGCCACTTGCTGTGGTACTTCAAGCCCAAAAGATCTACAAAGAGATCATGCGGAGAAAGGTATATAACAAAAATTATAAAAATAATGGGCAAAATCCGCAAAAAGCAGACACGTGGATTCTAGCAGAAAATAGGATAGGTAACCCGAGCGATACGTATTTCTGCTGGTTAGATACACATGCCCACACATCCGGATACGGGTGTAACGTGAGGAAAAGAAGATGGAGAGGGAAAAATGACACACGAGGTCCACAAGAGCCAACCTACACATTGTAGTATAAAATGGCTAGAAGACCTCGAATTTTCAAGAAGACATCTAACCACAACCACGCAGCCGGTTATAGCCACTTGCTGTGGTACTTTAAGCCCAAAGGATCTACAAAGACAAAATGATCATGCGGAGAAAAGTATATAACAAAAAAATTAGGAAAATAATGGGTAAAATCCGCAAAAAGCAGGAAAGTGTGTAAGTTGGCTCTAGTTGTGGTCTTCGTGTGTCAATTTTTTCTCTCTCTTCATTTCCTCAGGTTACACCCGTATCCGGATGTATGGACATGTGTATCTACTTTTATAGTTGCATACCTACATTCATTTCGGGACAGATGAAGCCAACCAGCAAAAATACTTATCGCTCGGGTTACCTATCCTATTTTCTGCTCGGATCCTCTTTCCTCCTTTCTGCTGATTTTGCCCATTATTTTCCTACTTTTTGTTATATACCTTTCTTCGCATGATCATTTTGCATATATACGTAGAATCATAATAGGCCACGCGGATCGAACGTCAGTACTGAATCGTAACCTCACTCTTTAGTAAACTTAAATTCAAAGTTTCACAACAATACGTGCAGTGTTCTCACTACAGTGAATTTTTAAGTGTCACCAAGTCCTTAGAAAAATGAAACTCATCCGAGAACATTTTCGCGCCATAATTTATTACAACTCTCAGAGACAATTATCGCAACAAGAATGCCTTGCTGAGTTACTGTCTGTTTTCGGCAACAAAGCGCCACATCATTCGACAATTTCCCGTTGGTTGGAGAATTCAAGCGTGAACGGGTGAGTCTGAGCGACGATCCCAAAGTGGGTGCACCAAACACGACAGTCACCCAGGAAAACGTATATGCTGTGCGCAAACTCATCATTGAAGATAGACGTGTGACATATCGCGAGATTGAGGCATCCTTGAAGATCTCAAAGACCTCAATTCAAAAAAATTTACTTGAAGAATTAGGAGTAAGAAAATTAGTTTCTCGTTGGATACCCCAACTGTTGACTGAAGAGCAGAAAGCAGCCAGGGTTAATTGGTGTCAAAACACGCTTGACCGTTTCAATTCCGGAAACTCAAAAAATGTGTACAGCATTGTTAGTGGTGACGAATCGTGGATTTACGGTCATGAACCAGAAAATAAACGACAGTCGGCTGTTTGGGTGTTCCAAGGTGAAGGAAAGCCATCAAAAGTCATCCGTTCTCGAAGTGTTTTGAAAAAGATGGTCGCGACATTTGTGTCAAAAGCGGGTCATATTGCAACAATTCCTCTTTATGAGCAAAGAACTGTTACTGCGGATTGGTATAGCACCATTTGTTTGCCAAAAGTCATCACCGAGCTTCGAAAAATCAACCCCGAAAGAAGAAACATCCTCCACCAAGACTATGGAAGCTCGCACACAGCCCAAAAAACAAGGCAGTATTTAATGGAAGAAAACGTGAAATTATTGGACCATCCTCCATATAGTCCCGATCTAAGTCCTAAGGATTTCTTTACTTTCCCGAAAATTAACAACAGACTGCGTAGTAAAAGGTTCCAGTCACCAGAAGAAGCAGTTGACGCATTCAAAAATGCCGTTTTAGATCTGCCAGCAAACGAGTGGAATAAGTGCTTCGAAAATTAGTTCGAGCGCATGCAGATGTGTATTAATCTTTATGGAGAATACTTCGAAAAACAATAAAGTCATTTAAAACTACCTACCGTGTTGTTTTTTTTCCATATGCAAAACTTAAAAGACATCCCTCGTGTATATACAAGTATATATACTTAATACCTTTAAGCTATCTTTTATTTTTATAAATTGGTCTGTTATTGGCGATAAGCTGTTGGGCAATAAAGGTTTATTATTATTATTATTATTATTATTATTATACCATCAGGATGAAAGTATTGTGAAACACAAAAGTAGTGGCAGGGTTATTACGTGAAAAAAGTCAAAGAAAAGCCGACAAAATGTGATCCTGCTGACTAGATAGTTCCTAGTGTGCAAATAGTCCATTCCGCGTTTGTGAGTGTCACCAAAAGCGATATCTACGACATAGTCTGTAGAGTATATCGCTGTGTGACATTCATAACGTTGTCATAAAAATCGGAGGCATTACTGTCTCCAATATTTATAAGCCACCTGCTTCATCTTCGTCAGCTCCAGTTATCCAAACACAACCCCACCCTGCTGTATATGTTGGGGCTTACAACAGCAATCATGAACAGTGAAAATACAATGATGCATTAGTAAAATGGACAGAAGACGAACGGTTGCACCTTGTATTTGATGCTAATGATCGATACACGTTCAAATCAGCTGCCTGGAGACGGGAATACAACCCCGACCTGCGCTTGGTCTCGTACGACAACGGAGACATGCCTCTAGTGGCCACACGAAGAATTCTATACGATTTTCCGCACAGCCAACACCGTCCAGTCATGATAGAGGTAGGAACCCAGAGTCCCCTTATCACTTCTATTCCTAGGCCAAGATGGTACTTCAAAAAAGCAAACCTAAACAGACCTAAATAAATGTTTGGGATGGATACCACCTACCAGTAAAAACTCAGATCTCAGATTTGTTGGCGCTGTAATAAATACGGCCAAGAATCATATACCAAGAGGGTATCGTAAAAAACACATCCCTGGTGATCAAGAAATAGCGGATGAACTACTTCACAGCTTGGATGCTGCAATGAGGCAAAAATGGACGGAAACTGTGGAAAGTCTGAATTTTCAAACATCTAGCAGGCATTACTAAAAAAAATAGCTACTGAATTAGCACTGAACGACCAAGGGCAGCTATAAGAGCAAATGCCATAGCTTTACACTTGGTAAAAGTATCTATGGCACCAAAAGACAAAGCACATACGATACAGGTGAAGCGAGAACTTAGAATCGTAAAAAATGAAGTTTCAGAATCAGAACACTCCCGTGCTTTCTCTAGGGAAGACATAGTAGAGGCTATGAAGGACGCCTAACCAGCAAAGGCTCCAGGTTTCGACAACATTCACCCTGAATTCCTTATAAATTGTAGAATGTTCACAAAAGTATGGCTTTCTCGTTTTTTCACAATCATCTTGCAAACTGGCAGCATTCCTCAAAAACTCAAAACGCTGTAAAGCAATCGCCATTCTAAAGCCCGGCAAGCCTGCTGATAACCCACAAAGTTACAGACAAATTGCTCTGCTCTCTGTAATTCACAGATTACTAGAAAGGCTTATCTATAATAGAATTAGTCCAGAATTGTTCAAGGTGATCCTTGTCGAGCAGGCAGCTTTTCACCTGGAAGAAGCTGTGATGACCAGGCGTTGTCACGAACTACCTACATCGAGGCAGGTTTCCAGAGAAAACTGAATACCTGTGTAGCATTTGCCGACCTCTCTGCGGCTTATGACACCGTATGGAGAGAAGGCGTAATATACAAAATTCTTCGTGTAATTCCTTGCAAATGCAAATCATGATAGGATCTGTCAGATAAATACCGGCACAGACATCAGCTCCCCGAAGAAACTTAGGAATGGGTTACCACAAGGATCAGTGCTCACTCCACTGCTGTTCAGCCTGAATATTGCAGATCTACCGTAGACATAATCAAAAAAGTGCGGATACGCCGGCGATTGGGCCCTCGCGACAAGGTGCAGTTCAATCGAAGAATCTGAGAATGTGCTATCAGCAGACCTAAAGATAACGGGCGAATATTTCCGTAAGTGCAGACTCCAACCGAATGCCTCCAAGACAGAAGTTTGTTGCTTCCACCTCAACAACAAACTCGCTGGAAGAGAACACAACATATGGTTTTACAGCACCATCCTTCGGCTCAATAAATCAACGAAATACTTGGGCGTGACACTGGATAGAACCCTAACTTTTGAAGAATACCTAACGAGGTCTGCTGACAAGCTGGAGAATAATATTATTCAAAAGCTCTGTGGTACCACCTGGGGAACAACAGCTTCCACTCTCCGCACTACTGCTCTGGCGCTTGTTTTCTCGGCCGCTGAATATTGTGCTCCAGTTTGGTTAACCAGCCCACACGTTAAAAAGGTAGACACTCAGCTACACAACACCATGAAGATGATTGCTGAAGTAATCGAAACCACTCCCTTGGAATGGCTTCCAATATTAATTCATACCCCACCGCCACATCTGCATCGGGTGGTTGCCTTTGCGCGGGAACACAAAAAGATTATGGATAATAGAAGTCTACGAGGACAGCAGGAACCAACGCAGAAGAGGCATTCAGCATTACCAACGCATGGTCTGAGGAACGGACTTCACGGCAATACTATTGCATGCTTTGCATTACCCTCAAACCACCTGGTTTTGACTTACCACCCAAAACATGGTCCACAGGATTCGAACACGTCTAGGTAGATGCGCATACCTTCTGCATAAATGGGGTAAACAGTCATCTCCTCAGTGTGACTGAGGTCAGAACCAGACCATTGATCACATTATTCAGGAGTGCCCCACAAGAGCCTATAATGGCAACCCCAATGACTTTCTTTTCGCCACACCAGAGTCGATAGATTATGTTAATAGTCTTAATGTTTGTTTGCAACTATTAAAAGTTTGTTATATTAGTGATTTCTTTTAATCATTCTGATTTTTTCAATTTGTCTTAACCGTGATACGATAAATAAAGAATCATCAACACAAATTATTAGCACTATGCGCTGCCGTTTCCGTCCATCTATGGTATACAACATACAGCTTGACCACTAATAATGTTAGATCCAATCTGAGCCCAAGATTGATAACTGAAGCATCATGATATTAAGGCATCACGTACAGCTATACAAGTGATCAGTAGCTAGTTGACATCTTGTAGAAAACCTACATAATGTCACAAAAAAACTATATAATGTAAAAAAACCGACATAATTTCTATTCGTCTTTGTCTGTCAGAGCGGTCCGTAGGACCTTTGCTCTTGGTTGAAGTCTTGTAAGTTAGTAAGTCTGTCAAGTCTGGTTGCCCAGATACCAAACAAAGTCAGGGAGAAAGAAGGGAAGAAGAAAGGAAGGAAGGAAGGAGGGAGAGCAAAGAAAAAAGAAGTGCGTCAATTTGAGAAGTGGCTTGGCATTGCTAATTAGTATTCGGCAATTTTAGATTGATCCTAAAATTAATTTTGGGATTGGTTGTTGAAGAAAAATGATAATTTTGGTTGGACCTAAAGTGGCACGATTAATTTTGATCAGCCACCGATTCACCCATTCCAATACCTCGTCCACTGCACTTTGCAGTCTGTCGTGAACTAGATCCCCAGAACACGACTGGGCCACCAGGGCAGTGTCATCAGCATAGAGATAGATTTTGCAGTTGCTGGGGCAAGGGACGTCATGAATAAAAAGTGCATAAAGGACTGGTCCAAGAACCGAACCCTGAGGGACACCAGCTTTGATGGACCGTGTTGTCGACAGAACGTTATTAATTTTGATCCGAAATTTCCTACCCTCGAGAAAGGATTTCAAAAGTTTTAGGAGCCAGAAGGGGAAACCCTTATATATCAATTTTGTAGAGAATGCGCTTGTCAAATTCCTTTGAGACATCCAGGATCAAGATGCCAGTACTTTCGTTAGGGATGAACCCCTTGGTTACTCATTCAACGAGCCTTATGGCCTGTAGCTCCGGACTATGCTCAGACCGGAAGCCAAATTGCACGCCAGGAATCACATTGTGGTCTGACGGGAAATTTTCAAGGTGACGTAGAATCACCTTTTCAGCGAGCTTAGAAGGAGCTGACAGTAGACTAATGGGGCGCTAATCCTGGGAGAATATCGAACCCACCTTCTTTGGAATCATTATGACATCAGCGGTCTTCCGCGCCGTTGGGAAGTGCTGGGTCCAATGGCATTGATTATTGCCACGAGATGAGTTAAGGACCTCCGCGAAAGTAGCTTCAGCGCCTTAGTGATTCGATCCTCTCCAGGAGCTTTACGCACCTTGAGGTCTTTAATATGACCTTGAAGCTCTGCTGGTGTGTAATGCGGAGTCTCGGGAGATTCCGCTGATGTGCCATGCAGCTCTTCAGTTGAGGAATCTTCTGAAGATTCCTCTGAGGAAAAATCACTAAGGGAGGCACTACTGCCACTGACGCCGTTGGCCCTAAAATATCTCCTGACGGATCTTACAATATGTTGCTCCTCGTCGAGGTCATTATCAAGATCATAGTTGAGAGAGAACTAACTTTCCATTGCATCAGCGAAAACCTCAAAAAACCGACATACTGTCACTTTTCAAGATACCTAATACAACTGCGGATTTAAAAAAAAACTGGTATCATTCGGTAACACATTTTGCTTAATTTGAGCCAGGGTTAGAGCAGTTTGAAGATTTTCCAGAGACCTCGCGGGCGGAACCGATAACCAACCACTTAGGAGCTTAACTAAATTGTTTTTTGTTGTTGGTTGTCCCCAAAATCTCACTCTGTAGTCAGAATAAAAATGCATACTACAAGTGAGCGTGACATAAGTTAATTTTTTGACGGTCCTGTCACTGAATTCGTATTTTTAGTGTTATTTTGATATATAACGGTGAGTGTTTGCAGATTATTGTGGTGTTAGACCATATCGGGGCATGGTAATTCTTGCATAATATGAAAATCCCGGCATAAACTCAATGAAGGTATATCTATATTTTAAATAGTATTCAGCACTGTAAAGTTCAAGCATATGCCG